GGGCGCGCGCCTCGGACTGGCCCCGGCTGTCTGCCTGGCTGCCCGCAGCGAAGGTAGGAATGGCGGGAATGGTGACGGCTCTCGAGGGATTTGGCGCAAGGCGGCCCAAGGGCTTGAGGAGGAGGCCGCGGGCCGGCAGAGCTGAGATCCTTGTGTCCCGCACTCAGACTTTTGTTGCCCCGACTGTACCATGAAAGGAAGAGGGAGACCCAGGGCTGGGTCCTAGGCTGGGGGAGTCGGGGCGCTGCAAAGAGGAGCAGGTGTTTGTGGCCCTCGTTGGAGGGTGGGCCGCAGGTCAAGCCAGCCCTCCGTCCCCATCCTGAGGCACCTCCTCTCCTGGGCTGTGCCCGCAACAGGGCCCTCTTCTCTCCTGCCAGGTGCTCAGGTCGCCTCCACTCTGCCTCTGTTGTCGGCTCCCCCTGGGTTCCCCGGCGGGGCACTCTGCCGAAACTACCTAACGGGCCAGGGCTGCCCCGGGGCGCCCCAGCCCTGGAGACCGTGGTGGAGGGTTCTGTGGAGCACCGCGGGCCTGGGACGCTATTGCTGGGTGGGGCTTCCTCACTGGCCCTGCTTTGGCCGCTCCTGGAGGCCTTGGGTGGGGCTGGGAAGGCCGGGCCCTGTGGGCAGCATCCCCCAGCCCCCATCCTGGCAGATCCATGGCAGGGGCGCCTCACAGGCTAGTCCATGGCCATGGTGTCAGTCCCTCCTTGTTCTGCGCTTGCTTTTTGGGGTTTCCTAGGCTCTCCGTAGTCCTAGTGTTTCTCAGGCAAATCCCAGCCACTACTCCTCCATCTGCGTCCCCTGTTCCCCCAGTGCTGAGCTGGCTGAGCTGTGAGCTTTCCTGCTCCTTGCCTCAGGAAGCTAGGGACAGCCCAGTCACCTCTGGCCGGAAGCAGGCCTTGGGCCAGGCTGACCTGGCTGGTCTCAGGGCTGTGCTGGGCTTCTTCCCATATTGGCCTGTGAAGTACAGATCCCCAAATATGCCCTGCTTCCTGCCTCCAGGAGTCCGCGACCGAGGAGGGCGATCAATGGCAATGACTGCCTCATGGGCAACCCGATGGACTGGAGATTTCAGTGCCCTTGTCTGGGTTCTGGTCTTGCCTTCTTGACCCACTCACTGGGCAGGTCACTGTCCCCTGGAATCTGATATCTCATCTGTAGAACAAGGATGATGCCTAATGTGGAAAGGCCTTGGCTTGGGGGCGAGTGGGGGAAGGTTTAGGGCAGACCACAGGGCCAGTTAGGGATGTGTGCTGGAGCTGGGGAACCTGGGAGGGAGGGTATTAGGCTTGAGGGTCAGTGGACACCACAGGGATTGCTGTTGGCAGAGGGACATGTGAATGGCAGTTGGCCTGGGAGCCAGCATGTGTCTTGAAGGCATCATGTCCTGCAAAGTCCAGGTGAGGCCTGGGTAGTGCCTGCCGTGTGGGACCACAGCCCCTGGTGGCTCTTAGTTGTGTCCTGACACCCAAAGAAGGTCTTAGTACCTCTCACCGACCTAATTCCTGAGCCACCTAACACCAAATGAGCTAGAATTGCCTTCCCAACCGTGTTTGCGGGGTCTGTCTTGTCTATTGCAGCGCAAACTGGTCCCTGAGCACGCAGGAGAGCAGAAGAAGGACAGACGGACGGATGGATGGATGAATGAAGGCGGGAAGCATAGGCTGAGGGGATTTAGGGCATGTGTGGTGAGGATGCTGTGGAGAGGAGACCACACAGGCAGGAGCTGAGCTGGTGAAAGGGAGGGTTCTAGCTCCCAGGAGAAGGGTCTGGGCCATTGACACGAGGGGCTTGGTCCTAGGAGGTGGGTGGTCCAGAGGTTGAAAGGAGCAGAGGAGCCCAGATGGGGAAGGGAATGGAGCTGGGGTGCAGAGAGGAGCCCCCACACGACTGCCCACCTCCTGCGCAGGGCCTGGGACTCTGGGTGGTGGGAAGAGGCAGTTTCGTGGCAGAGAGGGAGGCCTGGGCCCCTGTAGCCTGGACTCTGTGGATCTGGTCAGGGACTGGGGAGGATCAGGTGGAGGGAGGAGCAGGAGAGCAACTGCCCTTTATCCCAGCACAGGGGGCGATGGGAGGCCAGGGAAGGCAGGACCCTGGCTTCGGGCCTCCGCAGGCATTTTCTCTGCTAGAATCTCTCGCTACCTCTCTCCCTTCACCTTCTCCTCCAAGTCCCACCCAGATGCTGCTTCTGTGAGTTGCCATGGGGATTCTCTCACCACACCCCCCACCCCCCACCGGGGAGGCCTGTTCCAGGAGTCACTGGGCAGGGGCTGCTGCTGCTGCCCTTCTATGCCCCACCCCTCAGATGTGCCGCTGCAGCCCCGGTCTTTGGCATCAGCCGTCACCTGGTGGAGAGGCTGCCGGAGCTGGCCAAGCAGAGGGAGGCCGATGGTGTCACTTGGTGTCTCCTCTGGCGGATGGGCAGGAGATTTCTCCCCAGAGGCCCCGGGCTGGTGTTTGTCTGCCCCTGTGTCACAGGAGGACTCACCTGGTCCCTCAGTGGCCTCTGCAAACCCTGAGCCAGCCTGGGGGAGGCTGCTCAGTGGGGAAGAAGCAGTGGCCAGGCTCTGCTTGGTCAACTTGCCCTCCTGTCAGCCTCCAGGGCTGCTTTGTCACACCTGCCCAGGGACCCAGCAGCCGGTCCTCACCCCTCCCATCCTCAGTGCAGACACCCTGGGGCATTCTGAGGCCCTGCACCCAGCACGGCCCCTTCAAGCCTCCCACAGGGTCCCGCCCAGGACTAATGGGCTCTGTGTCCTCGGGGCCATCTAGAAACACTCCCTTGTCCCCCCTTCAGCAGCGTAGTATGTGTTGCCCGCCATTTGAGGGAGGTGCAGGTGCCAATCCTTCACGTGACGTGATGTGGCTCACCGCAGCCTGTGTACATGTGAGCAGCCGCGTGCAGAGGGGAAGCTCTCCCGGGCCTCGGGGACTGTGACATGGAGCAGGAGCCGCCCCCAGCCAGGCTGCTTTCAGCACAGCGTGGGCCCCCAGCACCTTTGTGCGGGGTGTGGCCCCTCAGAGGAGGGCTGTCAGGCGAAGCCTCGTATGAGGGGGTGAGTGGCGCCCAGGCAGGGAGGAGGGGGGGCTGTGGCCTCCCTGGCCCCTAGCCTGGACACATGGGGGTGTGGAGAGCAGGAGCTGGGGCCCCCAGCGCTGGCGCCAGGGCTGCGATGTGGGGGCTGCTCTGTGAGGCAGGCTCAGGGCCTTAGCCTCCAGCTGCAGGGAGCTGGGTCTTGGCCCCATCTTGCCCACATCCTGCCACCAGGAGCAGAGAGCCACAGCCGCACCCGGGCTGTGGGGGAGGGATGCCAGGCGTCTCTCTGGGTCCTGGGCCCAGCCTGCACCCAGCGCCTAAAGTAGGAGCCACCGGGCAGCCCCAGAGGGCAGGAGGGAAGCGGAGCCCATGCTGGGTGGCTGGTCACCACCGGGCAGTGAGGAAGGCACCTGCGCTGATGAGTTTTTGGGGAGGGTTTGGGGATCCTGGGGCCCTGGGCTGTGGCAGGTTCATGCCCAGGCCCCCCTGGGCCACCCAAAAGCCAGTCATAGTGGGGCCCACGACCTGCCATGCCCCTGCCGAGCTCCCGCAAGCCACTTGCTGATGCTTCTCAGTCTACCCAATGCCTCTCAACCGTTTCCTCCTAGACTAGGTCTCTTCATGGCATTTCTGTGAGAATTCCTCAGTACTAGCTTCAGATCCCCAGTCGCCTCTTCCACCATGTGTGTGCCTGAAGCCCACCACATGCCTTATTTCAGTCCCTCTGTTTTTCAGTCCCTGGATTTTGTATTATTTCATGTTTATATCCACCTGTCCTTGTTTCATTTCCGCCAGTCGGTTCAGAAGTTCTCATTCTTGTCTACAGATGCCATTCTTTTCTTTGCATCTTTGGACATCCTAAAGGTCTCTAAAATCATTATTAGATTACTGTATTACCTTCCTTTCTGCTGGAATGAATTCATCTCCATATTTTGTATTCTGTTGTTTGCCTTTCTTAGCCTTCATTTACCTCTTGCGCTTTGAAATTGATTTGCAACTCCTCTTAGGTGAGCCAAGGTTTTGGAGACAGGGAGTGGCCTGCAGTGCCTGAAACCGCAGGGCAGCAGCCGTCTCCCAAGAATGTCCTGGGTCCTTTCCTCCTTTGAGATCCCCTGCCATATGCTCAGGGCCCAAATGGGGCCAGGCACAGCAGTGGGGGGCATACCTCCCTGTGGCCCAGCAGTTAGGGTGCTGCCAGGCCTGGTGGAGGTGGTAAACATTTGTTATGGGAAAGTAGCAGGAGGGTTCTAAGGCTGGGATTCTGAAGCCCAGGAAAAGGCCAGGCATGGCTGGAGCAGGTCCGAGCCCCTGCACTGTGCCCTGTACGTTGCCCTTAGCCACACTCAGGAGCAGATGTGCAGGGCACTGCCTAGAAGCCGGTGGGCACCTCCGTGCAGCAGGCTCTGGGGGGTACAGCCACCATCTGGGCATGTGTACAGAGGGCCTTGCTAGTGTGACATACAAGGAACCAGAAGACGTGAGCCAGAAGATGTGTGGGTTTTGATTAAATGGAGTTTTAATTAAAGTGGCCGGGTTGGGGAAGGTGAGGAGGAAGGCAGGAACAAGTAGCAGTTTTGAGTCTGACCGCGTGGAATCCTATAAGGTTGTTCTTTCAAGAGGCATTATGCACGTTCCACAGCATGTGTCTCCTGTCTATATGGGGCAGCATCTGCCCTCTGATCTGTCCCCAACAAGGGGCAATCACAGAGAAGTATTACATTATTAGTATTTAATTTCCCCTCCTGGTTAGCAACAGATGACTGAAGGATTAATTAGATGCACAGAGCCAACAGAGAGGGATAGGAAATTGCCAGATCCTGGCCCCATCCCCTCCCTGGGGCCTCCGACCTTCCTGTCACTCTGGGAGGCTTCTGAGGGAGGGGAGCTTGGAGGCCCAGGAGGCTTCCTGCTGCTGTGCTCTCTATGGGTACAGCCCCAGCCCTACGCCACCTTCCAGTGCTCTTGGTAAGGCTGAGAGAGGTCGCTTCACGCCTTTGGGCCTCAGTTTCCTCATCTGTAAAATGGGTTTCCTGGGACCAGCAAGATCACAGATGACAGTCATTTCCCATCTCCTAAGCAGGCTGCACAAGCTGTGTCTGAGGGTCCAGTGCAGTGCGTGACCTCTAGGCAGGTGCCTCCTGGGATGCATAAGGTTTAGCAGCTCAGCAGTGGCTGGCATCGTGGCCAGCTGACTCTGTTGCTCCCCAGTTCTGGTCCACGACACATTAGTAGCTTGAAACTGGGCACAAGGGGAGAATTTACACCACAGAAATCAGGCAAAGCCTGTAAGTCAGGGCGCCCCGGCCCGGGGCCGATTTGCCAGCCTATGGTAGTTTCCAGCCTTTCCCCGAGGAAACGCACTCCTCCCCTGCCTGCCCCGAGGGTGCCTCTGACTCCACCGATCTGCTTTGCTCAGGGCTGAGAAAGGCACAGCTGAGAGTGGATTCTGGCTTGGCAGGGGCCCAAGTTGCCTGTGGGTCCGGGCAAGCCTCACCCGGGATGTGCTGGCAGCAGCTGGGAGAGCCTGCAGGAGTGCTTAAGGAGGGGCCGAGGGAGGGGACGGGCAGCGAGGTGGCCTGTGTGGACCCTGCCGGCAGGAGCCATGGGTGTCTTTAGCCCTGTGCGAGGCCGGCCAGGGCAGAGGGGTCTGTTGCCCTCATTGAGGCTGGTGGGCAGCAGGAAGTTGGCTTCAGTGTAGTCAAGAAGGTTATCAGTATCTAATGCTGTTTAGCGTGGGGACCCACAGCACAGAAGGTGCGAAGACCCTGAGAATGGGGGTACACAGGCAGGTACCCACAGCTGCCAGGGACGCCTTGCCAAACAGAGGCCCCAGTCAGGCTCCTCCCAAACCAGGCATCCCGGCTGGCATGGCACCAGTCCAGCCCCTGAGGCGGGTGCCGATGATGTGACCCCACCAGCAGGGCTCTGAGTGGTGGGACTGGGGAGTCCTCCCTCACCTGGGCAGACATGTTATGTTCCATCTTGTCTGCCCCCAGCAAGGCCCTTGAATCTAGAGTGTGGTCTGGGGCTGCATCAGCTTTCTCGCCTGGGATGGTCAGATTGGCAGAAGGTTGTGGCATCCTTCAATGCAGATGCCCTAGAGAGGGCCATGGTGGGACGCAGGATCCCTGGGTAGAGGCGGCTCCTCAGTGACCCACTGGGCCTCACTGGACAGTGGCCTGTTGCTGCTGCTGGTGGTGCTGGGCCTGGGAGGCCACCTTGGAACCACAGGCCAGGCACCTGGGTGGGAGGCAGCCCGGGCCCAGCACCAGCTCCACTTGTACCCATTGGGCAGGAGCTATCATGAGTCAGGTGGGCCCTGGTGACTACTGCTCAGGGAGAGAGGCCAGGAGCATCAGGGATAACTGTGTTCCTTGAGTGTGGCCAGAGATGGTGCCAGGAGACCTGGTCTGGCGCATCCCTGCCAGCGACATGCTTTGTGAGTGGCTGCCTGGCAAGTGCCCCATGGAAAGCAGGGGCTTGGGAGGACTCAGCCCTCTCCAGCTGCTGCAGGCCCTCCATTTTTGCAGGGTCTCTGGTCTCTGCTCTCTCCTTCCTCCTCCTGCTTCTGTGTCAATGCTCCATTCCAAGCCTCCTAGTAGACGCAAAAGGGCCTGTTGGGTGCAGGAGAACCTCCAGTCCCAGGTATGGCTGCAGCCTGTGCCAATCCTGTTCCAGCCACTTGAGGTGCTGACAGCATTGGAGTTGGAGGGAAAGTTGGGGTCTGTTTGAGCTCTGTCACATGGACAGTGGGGTAGAGGGGAGCCTGACCCTTTGAACAGGGCTCAGGACCAGGAGTGACTTTCTCTCCAGGTTGCCAATCCTGCTCCGTCCCTCATGTCCTGAAAGAGAAGAGAGATGAGGTGGCTGCCCGAGTCCACGTGAAAGGCAGCCTCTGACCTCTTGTCCCCAGGCAGGCAGTGGTGGCTGGCCATACACTCACAGGGCCCCATGAGGGTTCAAGATTGGAGGGGGTAGATCTGAGGGCCTCTTAGCTCTCGGAGAGGGGCAATTTAATGGGCAGAGGTCCGTTTGGATGCAGACCATTCACAGGCTCGAGGGGGACACTGGGAATTGGGGCTGGGCTCAGGCCTGCTGGGGAACCAAGACTTCTGCTTCTGAGGCATGTCAGTTAATTCCATTTTGACTCTAGGGGAGCCATTTTAAATGTTTATTTCCTTCTCATAGAATCATATGTGAGAGCTGGCATAGCCCCTAGAGGTCATTTGGGGTCCAACTGCCTCACCGTATCAATGAGGAAACTGAGGCCCAGAAGAGAAAAGCATTCTTTCCCAGAGTCCCTCAGTGAATCCTGGTTCCATACCTGCTTTCTGCCGGGGACCAAACTCCAGTTAGTCATTCCTGGTGTCAGCCAGGCAGAGGAGCAGGTGAGGGAGAGGGTGTGGGAGGAGGGAGGTGAGGCAGCTCCCTCCGAGTGGAAGCTCACAGTCAGCTGCAGCACCGCCCCCGGCCCTGACTGCAGCTGTCTGGTGGGGGCACCTGGAGGCAGCGGGTTCGGGCGCAGTGTGAGAGGGCTTACCCTCTGCGGCAGTGGGAGAAGGGACCAGGCGGCTCCCCACATCCTTCCACATCCGAGCTCCAGGGGTCTCTGGCCTGTCCTTTCACAGGGCGGCTGGTGTCCCTTAGGTGGGTGCTGGTAGTTCCTGGGAGAGCTGACGGGATGGAGTGGGCCAAGGGGGCTGAGAAGCTGGCCTGGCGAGAGAAGGTGGGTGGGACTGGGAGAGCCTGGGAAGGGAGGGGCTTTTCTGGGAGGGAATGTCATGGGGCTGGCCACGATCCAGGACCCAGGAGACTGGTCAGGCTGCCATAGGAGACCTAAGAGGCTGAGCATGGGGGGCCAACACAGTGACAGACTTTAACAGGTTCCTGGCCCCCCCAGGAAAAAAACAGACTGCAGCTGATCCTTGGCCCTGAGTTTAGAGTGGGAGGCACCGTGACCCCAGTGCGCAGAGCAGGGAATGCAGGGAGCCATGGATAGTGCTGGGGTGAGCTGGAGTCCTGGCAGGCGCCTGGCCATGGTGCTACTCGTTCTGCAGAGCCTGGGAGAAGGGGCTGCCTCCTTGGGAGGAACGGTTTGCGTGAGAGTCTTAGTGGGAATTCTATTGGACCAGGGAAACCAGTCTTGCTCAGTGACTTCTCTGGGTGTCCTCTAAAGTGAGGGTCAAATTCCCACCTCTCTCGCCTCCTGGTTATGACCACAGGAGACTGGGCAGGGCATGGGGCTGGGCGGAGTTGGGGGCCATCCTCAGGCTAACACCTGGCCTGTGGGTGGGGTGGGATCTGAAGCTGTAGGGTCTTCAGGGGGCCAGGGTGGGTGTGGGGCTAGGGGTGGCACTTTCTGCAGGGCCCGCCCTCTGCAGATGGTTCAGCTCCTTATCGGCTGTCCCTTTGCAGGTGCCTCGGGAACCCTGAAGCTGGGCTGAGCCATGATGCTGCTGCCAGAACCCCTGGAGAGGGCCTGGTTTCAGGAGACTCAGAGTCCTCTGTGAAAAAGCCCTTGGAGAGCACCCCAGCAGGGCTGCACTTGGCTCCTGTGAGGAAGGGGCTTAGGGGCCTGGGCCCCTCCGCCTGGGCCAGGCTGGGAGCCAGGCGGGCGGCTGGGCTGCAGCGATGGACCGTGAGCTGGCCCAGCCCGCGTCCGTGCTGAGCCTGCCTGTCTGTGGCCGTGCCCATCATGGGCTCCTCGGTGTACATCACAGTGGAGCTGGCCATTGCTGTGCTGGCCATCCTGGGCAACGTTCTGGTGTGCTGGGCCGTGTGGCTCAACAGCAACCTACAGAATGTCACCAACTACTTCGTGGTGTCGCTGGCGGCGGCCGACATCGCAGTGGGCGTGCTCGCCATCCCCTTTGCCATCACCATCAGCACCGGGTTCTGTGCTGCCTGCCACGGCTGCCTCTTCATTGCCTGCTTTGTCCTGGTCCTCACGCAGAGCTCCATCTTCAGCCTCCTGGCCATCGCCATTGACCGCTACATCGCCATCCGCATTCCGCTCCGGTGAGCAGGGCCAGGGTTACATCTGTGCAAAGGCTGTTGGTGCCCAGGCTTTGGTCTGTGCCCGGGGCCAGGGTGAGCCTGGGGTCAGGGCCTAGTCTGCGGTGTCAGCATGGTGAGCTGGTGACGGGGCCCCGGGCTCAGCAGGGGCTCCCCAGGGCCAGCACGTGGCCAGCAGTCATGCTGAACTGACTGATCCCTGTGGGCGCAGGGCAGCCTGGCCCTCCCAGGAGGCCTGGGTTCCCCTAGGCTGCCTGAGGCCAACTGTGCTCTGGTTTTTGGCAGATGATTGTGGCCAGGGTCTGGCATTGGGCTTAGCAGGGAGCTCTGGTCCCGGTGACCCACGTGCTGCCAGCGGGTGTGTCTGGGCCATTCCTCACACACGAGCAAAACTCCCCGCATGATGCTGGGGTGGAGCGGGGAGCCAGGGGAAACCACAGGACCTCAGTGCTAGGAGCCGCCCGCCACCTGCATTCCCCCAGCTCCTCTGGGCCAGCCTTGCAGTGTGCATATTAGGAAAATGACCCAGAGAGGGGAAGTGACTTGGCTGAATGCCACAGTGAGTCACTTGGACCTATATGCAAATTTTTGTTGCTCCTCAAGTCACCAAGGACTCATGGTTTTGGAGGCAGCCAGTGTGCTCAGGGGCTGGCTGTTGGAGGGGATTTTTATGGTGAATCTTTTGTGAAGTGACTTCAGCCAAGTATTGTGTAAATGAAGATTTTCCCAGAGGCTGAGTTTACTCGGCGTGGATTCCACCTACCCAGGCCATAGATGAGGCTAGAAAGTGCATCCCTCCCTTGGGGACTTCAGAGGCCTTCTGTCCCACCTCCTGGCCCTGCCGCCATGGAGCTGGATTCCGCAGCCTGGGTGGTTGTGGGCCCTGAGGCCATGCATGAGGCTTGAGGTGGTGCCTCTTGAGAGTCAGGGAGCAGAGTGTGCCATCTCTGTGGTGAATTATCTGAGACTGGTGGGTGCCTATCTAAAGAGGAAGCCACAGCAGCCCCACTCAGGTTGAGGGTGCCCCAGCAGGAAGGAGGACCCAGCTAAATGAGCAAATGGAAATTTAGAGTGTCAAACCCAGGGGGCCCTTAGAGGTCATTTCCTCTCATCTTCTGGATGGAAAATGAGCCTCAGAGAAGAGAGCCAGCTGTTTCTGGGCCACACAACGAGTTGGTAGTGGAGCTGGGGCTAGGCCTGGAAAAAAATGTGGCCTGACCCCCACTGTGACTTCAGTCACTGGGCAGCGGTCATGGGCAGCCTGTCTCCCGGAGCCTGCACCAGGTGGCCATCCCTGTCACCTGGGCTCTAAGCGGGAGCAGGGGCTGCATTGGGCTGCTCCAGGGAAGGGGAGGAGTCTGGACCTCACACGGCCCTATCAGATGCTCTGTATCCCAGGAGAGTCTAGAACCCTTGGCAAAGGAGAAGGGGACCCTGGCCAGCCCTGACAGGGATGGAATTAGGGGTTGTCTGACTCTAAGTGCAGTCTCTGGGGAGCCTCCATCCATTGCTCTGCCACGGGCAGAGCAGAGTTCAGGTTCGTTCAGTGGCAGCTCAGAACACGGAGGCCCAGGAGGGGCCCTGTCTGCAGGTGCCCGGGTGGGCCAGAGCACAAAGGACTGGAGCTGACTTCAGGGAACCGAGCTGAGTCTGCACACTGATGGGATGCTCCGTGGGGAAGCAGAGGCCAAGCTCTCATTTTGTCTCTGATTCAGAGGGCGTGATCAGGGCTGCTGTTCTCAGTTTAAAGGAGCTCGACTTTTTTTCTCTTTTGTCTCTCCCTTTCCTCCTCTGTTTTCTGAGAGTTGAGAGAATGGCTCCCTATGAAGTAAGACAGATGTGCTGTGTGGCTGTGGAAAGTTAGCTGCCTCTCTCTGGGCCCATTTCCTCATCCACAAAATAGAATAAGTCTCTCTGCCCCTCTGAGCTCACAACGGTGTTCTGAAGGTCCAGTGAGTGGATGGGGTGACAGGGACCCTGAGAAGGGTTGGCGGGGTAGGGAGGGTAGGGATTCAGATCTTTGGGTTCAGAGCCATGGACCTGCTGCCCCCTATCCTCTACCCATCTCATCCCAGCTTTCTTGGAGCTGGACCTTAGTTCCACCCAGACCTTGAGCCATTTGACTTTGCTCCATGAGGCTCTGCAAGGCTTAGGCTGGTCTCTTCTGCAGAGGGCCCTGGAGAGGATGACGACGATGATGTTCATCCTCCCTCGTGGGCAGAGAGCTTTACAGCTGCCAAAGGATGTCAGCTCAGCATCTCCTGTCATCCTCTTGGCCTGCACTGTGGCCAGGCGGATGTTCTGACCCTCCTGTTACTCATGAACTCATGGGGAGGCCAGAGCAGGGAAGGACATCAGAGTTCTTCCCTCTGGTGTCTCCTGATGTGGATGGACTCCAGGGCCCTTCAGGCTGTTCCTGGTCCTTAGGTCCCTTCGCTTTCCTGTTCCTCAAGGCCCCTGGGCCGCTGGGCATGTGGAGGTGTCCATGTGGGCTCCCGAGAGCAAGTGGGGTATGAAGGGAACTTGGAGACACTCTGGCCTGAGCTGGAGTTGCAGCCTGGCTCGGGATCCTCCCTCCTCCTTTCTCAGCTGGGAATCCAGCCTCCTCTACATGCCGTTTCCTGCTCCACTCAGAAAGGTCCATTCAGCTAGCCCTGGGTCTAGCCTCAGGCCTGCCCCACTCTCCATTAACTTTTTTTAAAAAAAAGAATTCAGTTTTGGAAAAATCTATTATTTTCCAAGTTCAAGGAACCTGTTGGGCTAGCACAGGGCCTAGTCGAGGAACTCTGAGAGAAAGACTCCAGGCCAGAGGCAGTGATGTAGCTCTCTGTGTCCCCAGAGGATAGAGAATTCAGGGCGAGAGACACGGGCTGCTTTTCCCAGTTCCCAGGGGACTTTTGCCTCACTGTCACCTGGCTCTCACAGCAGCCCCTGGTGGATGCTCTCGCTGGTTGAGGAACAGGCCAAGGTGCAGGTGGCAGTTGGTGGTGAGACCCAAAGTCCTAAGACTTCTAAGAGGGCAGGATTGGGAGAGAGGGCTCCCTGGAGGAGGTGCCACCCAGTGGGTCTTGCAGGATGGGCAGGCAGGGTCTCACTGGCATGAGTGTGGGGGCAGCAGGTGTGTCAGGTGGGGGGCAAAGCCTGAGACAAGACCCTGAGGAAGGAATGAGCATGTGAGCACTGGTCAGGGAAGGGTGGCCTGGCTGCCAAGTGACAGAGAGAGATGAACAGCATGGGCAGGAAGCGTGGAGGCCAAGTCAGGCCTGTTCATACCGGGGTAAGGAATGGAGGTTTCCCCTGTTGGTCCATGGCTCTTCAGTTCTTGGATCAATGACTCCTTTGGACAACTTACGAAAGCTCCACCTACTCTTCAGGGTGGGACACGTGCACATAAAGCCCCACCTGGAATCATGGGGCATATTCTTGGACCATAGGGTTAGCCCCCAATGTGGGTAATGGAGATCCCCAGAAAGGGGCAGCCTGCAAGCCAGGGGACACAGGGCTGCAGAGGGCACCTCCACAAGGGGTGGGCAGCAGCTCTGGGACCCACATTCTCTGACACGCCTGGGCATCCCAGAGTGGCGGCATGTCATGCTAGACGGCCTTGGCATCCCTTTCAGTTGGAAGGTCAATGTTTGGGGTCTAGGAGGGCAAGATGTGAGTGTATGAGTCACAGATGCAGCCCAGGGTACATTGCTGGGCCTGGCTGAGGCTCAGCTGTGATTCCATTTGGGCCCTGATGCTGTCCCCGCTCCCTGGCACCAGGGTCCAGGGCTCTCAGCCTATGGGGATTTCTTTTAAATAAACTTACTCTATTTGTGTTTTTTTAAAAAAATGAGTAATGTTTCGCCCACGCTAAAACATTAAAAAGGAACAAAAGAGTATAGTATAGTAGAAAGTTGTTCTCCACAACCCCCTGGTTCCCCACCCCCAGTTCCCTGCCTGCAAGGCCATGTTAAGAATCCTTCCAGAGATATTTTTTGCATATATAGTCAAGTGCTATTAAGGTATGTTTTGTTTCTGTCCCCACACGGGGCTTTCTTTGCAGAGTGCAGTGGAAGACTCCCCTTGTGGGTTCCCTCTTCTGTACAAGTAAACAATTGGACAGACCAGGGATTTCCATACTGTGTTCCCAGAAGCCTTCAGGTTGGCTCTGCTGTCCCCACCAATTCACTGATTCAGTAAACATTTAATAAGCCCCTTCCCTTCCCCAGCAGCTTCACCTCTGTGACTGCCTGGGAATGTGGGCAACAAGGTTTGCTGCTGAGAACAGTTTGAAAACCAGCAAAGCAGGTGGCCCAGGGCCCAGGCAGCTCTGCAACACCCCTGTGGCTGCTTGGCTCTGCTCTGTTGCCTCAAATGACAGGAAACTCACTATTGCCTGAGGCAGTCCATCTCTCCTGTGAACAGCTCAGCTGAAAAAGTCTTACCTACCCTGAGCCACAATCTGCCTCCCTATAATTTCCACCCACTGATTCTCCATTCTGCCCTTAGAGGGCAGAGTGCTGACAGGTCCAGGACTTGGTCCCATTTTACAAATGAAGAAACTGAGGCTCAGAGAGACAAAGTTTTAAAACATTCCTGTTTACAGGGCTGGAACCCAGGGAGGGATATGCTTTTCTCAGGAATAATGTCAGAATTAATATAGCTTCCCAGTCAATGAGGACTATATAAATTACTGTTTGCAAAGCACTAAGAATGGTGTCTGGCACAGAGTCAGTGCTATGTAATGTAGATGTGACAATGAGAGAGCCTGAGATTTTATGTTTGCGAGTCCAACAAGAGGCAGGGCAGTGCCAGCTCCCTGTTGCTTGGAAGCAATGAGCAAGTCTATGACCCTCCTGTTGAGGCCCTGTTGCAGGTAACCAAGCCCCCATGGAATGGAGCTGAGGAGCTCCTGAGAATGGGCTTGTCTGGTTACTGTTTGGATTCAGAAATGACCTAAGAAATTCAGAACAGACAGACTCACCTTGGCCTGAGTTGTCTCTGGGCTCTTGGAATGTCCACAGCAAGTCCATTCCTCTCCTCGGGCCTCAATTTACCCACCTGTAAAACAAGAGGATTGGACCACATAAGAGATCAGAAGCCACCAGGGTTTCTCTTTTTCTCTGTAATTTGAATAAGTTAACAAAATTTAAATCTTAGGAGATTATACCCAGAAAACCATCTCCTCAGCCCCACCTGAGATCTGGTAACAGCAGGCACGCATTTTGCATGGCGGTGAAGACCAGGTAAACGCCCCACCAGCTGCCTCCTGTGTGTGCTACCTGTAGGCGCCTGTTCACTACCCATAGATGAGATGGTTTCTGTGGATGTTCCCAGCTCCAGAGTTAAGTAGAGCACATCTTTCCTTGCACCTTCTTTTTTTTTTTTGGAGATGGAATCTTGCTCTGTCGCCCAGGCTGGAGTGTAGTGGCTCGATCTCGGCTCACTACAAGCTCTGCCTCCCAGGTTCATGCCATTCTCCTGCCTCAGCCTCCCGAGTAGCTGGGACTACAGGTGCCCGCCACCATGCCCAGCTAATTTTTTGTATTTTTAGTAGAGATGGGGCTTCACCATGTTAGCCAGGATGGTCTCGATCTCCTGACCTCGTGATCTGCCTGCCTTGGCCTCCCAAAGTGCTGGCATTACAGACGTGAGCCACCCCGCCCAGCCTTCTTGCACCTTCTGAGTGTCCCTGTCTCAGAGCTGACAATGCAGAGATGGATGTAGGAAAGCCCTGCCCCCGAGGGGCCCAGATGTGGTAGGGATCTGCTGCACTTCAGTAGGAAACTTCTCTGAGATCTCTATCCTGGACTTGAAGGATGGGTAGGGTTTCTGCCAGGTAGAGGGGAGTGTAATCTGGCCTTGCCAGAATCAAAACTGTTAAACAGAAGTCATCCCTCAGTGATCATCAAGGTTGCCTTCCTAAATTAGGGGATTTTTTTTTTTTTTTGTCCATTCTTTTATGAAATCTATGCCACTTTTCCTACAGGGCTGAGGTCTGCTTCCTGGCTGGCAGATCCAGCCATTTCCCGAGTATAAGACTGGGAATCGGTAGGCTTGGATTTCTGTCTGGCTCTCACTCAGTGATTTCAGGCAGATTACTGTCTCCCTGGACCTCAGTATTTCCTTGCAAATGTTAAGATGGCCATGTAAATGTTAACACGTAATTCTCTCATTTCTCTCCAGAGGGCTGTGGGTGGGTTTGGAGGGGAGAAATGGCATCTCCTTTGGCCTGGGACCTCCTCGCCTCTTTTACCCCCATGCTGCCTCTTCGCAAGGGCTTCTGGAGACCCCAAGTCAAATGGCAAATGGGGAAGAGAAGACAGGGTATGGAGTATAAGAGGTCTAGATCCCCTACAGGTCTGATCTGGCTGGTACTGCCCCTAACCAGTGAGGCCACCCTCCATACCCCTTCCCACTCTCCAAAGGGAAGCCTGTCGTAGCCTTAACCAAGATCAACCAACATGGAGGTGACTGATCTTGGTTAAGGCTGCGACCAACATGGAAGTGATTGATCTTGGTAAAGGCCACGACGCATTTCCCTTTAGAGAAAAATAATGTTTTCCCCCTCAAAAAATCATGCGTTAATTCCCTCCAACCAAACTAAGTGCCAGGACTACTCCAAAAACTCCTCAATGACCATCTGGACGTTTGTACATGGGTTTCCATTTCTTGGGTGCCTGCTCTCCTGTTACCTCCCAGCGGCCTGTGAAAAAGGCAAGGCATATTACTTCCACTTAACAGAAGAGGATGCTGGGGTGAGGTGGCAGGAAATGACTGGTCCAAGACCTTATAGTCAGGAAAAGGGGAAGAGGGTGCTGCTCTGGGGTTCTGAACTCTTGCCCTGCTTAACCCTGGTTTCTCAGATCTCTGATGCTGGTCTCTTCTCCCCAGGTACAATGGCTTGGTGACTGGCACAAGGGCTAAGGGCATCATTGCCATCTGTTGGGTGCTGTCGTTTGCCATCGGCCTGACTCCCATGCTGGGTTGGAACAACTGCGGTCAGCCAAAGGAGGGCAAGAACCACTCCCAGGGCTGCGGGGAGGGCCAGGTGGCCTGTCTCTTTGAGGATGTGGTCCCCATGAACTACATGGTGTACTTCAACTTCTTTGCCTGTGTGCTCGTGCCCCTGCTGCTCATGCTGGGTGTCTATTTGCGTATCTTCCTGGCGGCGCGACGACAGCTGAAGCAGATGGAAAGCCAGCCTCTGCCAGGGGAACGGGCACGGTCCACACTGCAGAAGGAGGTTCATGCTGCCAAGTCGCTGGCCATCATTGTGGGGCTCTTTGCCCTCTGCTGGCTGCCCCTACACATCATCAACTGCTTCACTTTCTTCTGCCCCGACTGCAACCACGCCCCTCTCTGGCTCATGTACCTGGCCATCGTCCTCTCCCACACCAATTCGGTTGTGAATCCCTTCATCTACGCCTACCGTATCCGCGAGTTCCGCCAGACGTTCCGCAAGATCATTCGCAGCCATGTCCTGAGGCAGCAAGAACCTTTCAAGGCAGCTGGCACCAGTGCCCGGGTTTTGGCAGCTCATGGCAGTGATGGAGAGCAGGTCAGCCTCCGTCTCAACGGCCACCCGCCGGGAGTGTGGGCCAACGGCAGTGCTCCCCACCCTGAGCGGAGGCCCAATGGCTATGCCCTGGGGCTGGTGAGTGGAAGGAGTACCCAAGAGTCCCAGGGGAACACGAGCCTCCCAGATGTGGAGCTCCTTAGCCATGAGCTCAAGGGAGTGTGCCCAGAGCCCCCTGGCCTAGACGACCCCCTGGCCCAGGGTGGAGCAGGAGTGTCCTGATGATCCATGGAGTTTGCCCCTTCCTAAGGGAAGGAAATCTTTATCTTTCTGGTTGGCTTGACCAGTCACGTTGGGAGAAAAGAGAGAGTGCCAGGAGACCCCGAGGGCAGCCAGTTCCTACTTTGGACTGAGAGGAGGGAGCCCCAGGCTGGAGCAGCATGAGGCCCAGCAAGAAGGGCTTGGGGTCTGAGGAAGCAGACGTTTCATGCTGTGAGGCCTTGCACCAGGTGGGGGCCACAGCACCAGCAGCATCTTTACTGGGCAGGGCCCAGCCCTCCACTGCAGAAGCATCTGGAAGCACCACCTTGTCTCCACAGAGCAGCTTGGGCACAGCAGACTGGCTTGGCCCTGAGGCTGGGGAATGGCTCCAACAGCCTCCTGCCACCCACACACCACTCTCCCTAGACTCTCCTAGGGTTCAGGAGCTGCTGGGCCCAGAGGTGACATTTGACTTTTTTCCAGGAAAAATGTAAGTGTGAGGAAACCCTTTTTATTTTATTACCTTTTACTCCCTGGCTGCTGGGTCTGCTGTCAGTCCTGCTGCTAAACCTGGCACCAGAGCCTCTGCCCGGGAGCCTCAGGCAGTCCTCTCCCACTGTCACGGCTGCCATCCACTTCTCAGTCCCAGGGCCATCTCTTGGAGTGACAAATCTGGGATCAAGGACAGGGAGTTGTAACGGAGCAGTGCCAGAGCATGGGCCCAGGCCCCAGGGGAGAGGTTGGGACTGGCAGGCCACTGGCATGTACTGAGTAGCACAGAGCTACCCGGTGAGAGGCCTTGTCTAACTGCCTTTCCTTCTAAAGGGAATGTTTTTTTCTGAGATAAAATAAAAATGAGCCACATCGTGTTTTAAGCTTGTTCAAATAAGAATGGTGTCTGAGTTCGTTTCCTACTCCATAGCTAGGCCTGTGCACACATACCGGCATGTGTTGTGTATGAGAGAGTGTGTGCGTATGTGCAGACACCCTGCCTGCCCCAGGGGCCCTCCCCAGGCTCCTGTCCTCGAGGGGACAGGCTGCCTGGCTGCACCACAATCCAACCTGCATTTCTATGCGGGCCCACAGGGGCTGTGGGAGAAGGGGCTTTCCCCAGCAACTCCCTCCCTCCTTATCTTCCTACATCTTTAAGGGAAGATCTCTTTGTATGTTACCTTCTCGAACTGTGACCTGCTACCCCTGCCCTGCTCCACCCTTTAGCAGAGGTCACAGAGGTATCTGCAAACAGATCTGGGCAGGGACTACACTGCCTTCCCCTAGAATCCCCCTCCTTCTATTCTTAACAAAAGAAACCTAGAAGGAAGGGGTGTTTTTGCTCTGACCCCGGCCTCAGGGGTCTCCTGCCTGAGGAGGTGGTGCCATCTTTCTGTGATGGAGAAGTTTGAGGCCTGGAAGGCGTTTAGCAACCTGCCCCTGCCTGAGGTTGGCGGGGAGCTGTGATTGTCCCAGTTTGGTCTCATTCACTCTGGGTTTCCGGAAGGAGTGTTCGAATGTCAAGGGTAATCCTCACATAGCCCTGTGAGCCCTGTTTTACAGATGATTAACAAGCCCAGAGAGGTTACATGCTTGCTCCAGGTCACACAGCTAGTAAGTGGCAGAAGTGAACTTAAAACCCAGGTCTATCTGACTGTAAAATCCATGTTCTTTTTTTCCATTAACTTATGATGAACTATTTGAACCAAACCAAAAAGTATAAAACATCATGTCCTTAGCACTCTGCTTAAGAACTGAAACATGACAATGTTGGATCTGACCCCTGCCCATCATTACCCTGCCTCCTAGGCCTGGAAACAACCACTTTCCTGAATTTCATTTCTTTCCATTGCTCTTCTTGCTCCTCTTCTTGCTCTTCTTCTTCTTCTTCTTTCTTCTTTCTTTTCCTCTTCTTCTTCTTCTTCTCTTCTTCTTCCTTCTTCTTCTTCCTTCTTCTTCTTTCTTCTTCTTCTTTCTTCTTCTTCCTTCTTCTTTTATTTTATTTTATTTTATTTTTTTGAGACGGGGTCTTGCTCTGTTGCTCAGGCTGGAGTGCAGTGCAGTGGCACGATCTCAGCTCACTGCAACCTCCACCTCCCAGGTTCAAGTGAATCTCCTGCCTCAGCCTCCCGAGTAGCTGGGACTACAGGCACATGCCACCATGCCTGGCTAATTTTTTGTGTATCTTTAGTAGAGATGGGGTTTCACCATGTTGGCCAGGCTGGTCTCGAACTCCTGACCTCATGATCCACCTGCCTCGGCCTCCCAAAGTGCTGGGATTACAGGCATGAGCCTCCGCACCCAGCCCTTTCCATTGTACTTCTTTACACTTTTAGTATATGGATGCCTGCAAAACTGTCCCAAAACCAACACAGAATTGTTTTAGCTATCTCACTGTTATATCCTCAGAGGTCCTCTAGACTGGCTGCACAGGAGAAATACCTAGGAAGCTTCAATCAGCACCAAAGCCTGAGTACCTTGCCTCAGAGACACTGGATTAATTGGCCAGGGTAGATCAAGTAATTCCCTAGGGGGTTCTTATGGACAGCCAGGACAACCTATAAGGAGCCACTGATACAAATGCACTGAGTCCACCCCCTGTCCACACCAGCTTCCTCCCTCCTAGGATCTGCACTGGCTGTGGGCTGAGGGTGGAACAGTGGCTGGGGTGTGCCTGAGAAGACCAAGAACACAGAAGCTGCCAGTCCTCATGAGCAATTGGTGGGAAGAGGCCAGAAAGAGAACCACAAAGGTAGGGAAGAATGAAACCTTGTCTCTCCAGCCTTTTCTGAGACCTTGGGAACCAGGCTTTGAGTACTGAGCTAGATGGGTGTAGGCTTTGGGGCTGGGAGAACAGGGCCAGGGGCTCAGCAAAAGCTTCTAGGTACAAATGGGCCCTAGTCCTCGCAGGGCCAGCTCCTGCCTAGTGGTAGAGCACAGGCCTCCTCATGTCCTTAGGAGCTTAGGGTCCCATGTCCACACCCACCCCATGTTGGTTCCCACCTTCAGCAGGCCTGAGTGTAAGCACATGGGCACAGACCTGAACATATGCAGGCATTATTCCTCAGACAGTAAGAGAATACATGTGTGCACATATAAACATGCTAGTGGGCAGAGCCCACCTCAACAGGAATAAGTGCCCACAGCAGCAGCATGAGGGAGATGAGAAGACTGGTGAAGGGCATGAGCAACAGCCCAGTGCCATGGGGTACAGGCTATGTCCTGGTCCACACTGCCCTGGGCCAGGCTGCCAGGAGCTGTGGCCTGGGCTGCTCCAAGCCCTGCAGCTCTGTCGAAGGGCCCCTCTCCACCCTCTCCCTGCCCTTCCCAAAGGGCTGGGGGTGGATAATATGCTTCATTCAGGCCTGTCCCACGCATATGGGTCCCATCACAGATCCATGTTCTCCATGGCCCCAGCCCCTCTCTACAGTGGGTGTTGCCAGGCCACTGGGAGGCCTGAGAGCAGGGGTCTGGCTCAAGCTGGGTCTCGGCTCATCACTGGCCCTCACAAGAAACAAGCCTGCTGGAGGGCTCCCTTTCACCCTCCTCCTCTAACCACCCCTCCTGAAACCCTACCTTAATCGGATTGGATTAAGGCCCTATCCTCTGGGAGGCATCACCCGGAGGCTCAGGGAGCTGGGTAGGGGCCACAGTTCTGTGCACTGACCAGGGGACAGCAAACCACAGCAGGGCAGGAAAGAGGGGCCACCTGGGTACTGTGAGGAAATGAGCTGCTGATGTTCCCTGCATCTTCTGGGACTCGGTATCCCAGAAATGGGAAACTGGTCTTTTCAACTGTGGTGGGGAAACAAGAACCCAGGGGAATCCAACTGCTCAGCATGTGGGAAGGGCTCTGCCAGCCCACCCCTGCTCCTGGGGCCGCAGGGAAGGTGGGTGAGGCCAGCACTCTGTGCCTGGGATGCTGCTGCTGTCGTGCGATGTTGTGCTGCTCCCCCACATGGCTGCTGCTACGGGCTCTTGCCAGTTGGACACCCTCCCCTGAGCTCTGGTGCCGGACAACTGTTTTCTGAGCATGCCAAGCAATGCCCCTCTGCTGGTGGGAGAAGTTACTTTAGAGGGTACAGAACTTAGGAAGACCCAGGTGTGCTGTGAGGCAAGTGGCTCCCTCCCTGACCCTTACTGCTCAGTGTGCAAGTTTACCACCTTCCCCTCCTCCCCACACCCATCCCCCCTCTCTCCCAAGGTGCCCCTCATTGCTGCTGTCACTCATCATTAGCAGTTACTGTCATTGTTAGGACAGCCCCTGTCAGGCTTCAGAGCCAAGGGAGGGGGCAGGAGAATGTCAGATGACTCACACAACCTTAAAAGAGGGGGATGGACACACAGAACACAGAAGCTAGCTATGAGAAGCACCTTGTGAGACTCTGGTTCAACCCTTTTTCCAGAGGAGAAAGAGCAGCTTAGCAGAGCTTCCTGACAATTCCCTCTGCTTCCCATTAGTCAGGCTTGGAGGGAGGCTGGCCTAGGAGAAAGGCCAGGCCAGGGAGTCAGCATGAGGCTGGGCAGGTGACAGGGGTAGCCTACCCAGGGTCCTCTGAGGGAGGTGGGGAAGGTTTTGCATGGACCCATCCACGCTTCTTTGCCTTGTCCAAGGAAGTGTTTCTGTTTTGGGGAGGAGAGGAGTGACTCTTTGTCAAATTAGCCATCTGAACTCTCACCTAACAACCAGCCAAGCCCTCGGATCGTGCTGGTTAGGACCTGAGCCCTATCTCCTGGCTCTCTGTCCCTCTCCCAACCACTTAATGAGCCCTTGATGATGCACACTGAGCCAGGGGCAGGATGCAGGGAGCTAACCACTGACTAAGGAGAACAAGCCCAATGGGGAGAATAAGCCTGACAGAGGGAATAAGCCTGTGAGGGACACACAGGCTTTCAGAGGAGGTGAAAGTCACACCCTAGCGGGCAGCCAGGATGGGCTTCACAGAGGGGGCCACGCCAAGCTGGCCTGTCAAAGGCCCGCGGTCAGCTCCAGGGCCCCATCTCTTCAACCTGTTGGTCAGGAAATAAGAACAAGGAGGGGCTGAGTAAATCTGCGCCTGATTTTCATCTGCCTACACTGAATTATGCCATCCATTTGGAGGCAATTTTCAAGTTAAAATGTTGTCAGAAGGCTGTCACAGTTTTGATCTTTCTTTTCTGTTCTTTCTCAACCCACCCACATTTTCTAGTTAGGTTGGAAAGGGGAGTGAGGGGGATAGAGCCTGGTTTATATTCAGAGATTTCTGGAATTGTTAAAGATAGATGAGACTTTTAGAAATTATCAAGTTTTCTCTTAGGAAAATTGAGTCCCAGTTCAATGTCACAATTAATTGTTCTTTCAGTTCTAGAACTTTCAGGGGAACTGGAGGGCCACGGCCAGGCATCCTGCAGGCTATCTCTTGGGGTTTCAGCTTGATTCTCTCTGCTGCCTCATTCAGAGATGCCAAATAATCCCACCACTTGCTCCTTCCAACCACCACCCTGTTCCACCGACTGCTGGATGGGGAGTCAAAACACCAGTTTTAATCCCTGGCCTTGCCATTGACTTCTTTCACAGGACAAGTCACTGAGCTGCCACACCTACTTTTAGATAAAATGAGTTAATAAACGTGGGCCGGGCGTGGTGGCTCACGCCTGTAATTCCAGCACTTTGGGAGGCCAAGGCGAGTGGATCACCTGAGGTCAGGTGTTCAAGACCAGCCTGGCCAATGTAGTGAAACCCTGTCTCTACTAAAAAATACAAAAAAAAAAAAATTAGCCGGGCATGGTGGCGAGTGCCTGTAATCCCAGCTACTTGGGAGGCTGAGGCAGGAGAATCTCTTGAGCCCGGGAGGCAGAGGTTGCAGTGAGCTGAGATTGTACCATTGCACTCCAGCCTGGGCAACAAGAGTGAAACTCTGT